TCTCTCTCTCTCTCTCTCTCTCTCTCTCTCTCTCTCTATCTATCTATCTATCTATCTATCTACCTACCTACCTAGCTCGCTTTCTTTTTTCTCTTTCTTTCTATCTCGGTATTTCTATCTATCTATCTATCTATCTATCTAGCTCTAAAGCTATTAGTGTCCAGTTGGGTATGACCACTTGGCTAAGAAGACCTTCTATGGAGAACTTAAAAGCGTTATCCGACCGCAGGAAACGTTTCAAAGACCCCTTATTGGATTTACCTCCTCCGTTTGGTCCATGTAAGCAATCGTAGCAAAGGAATACATAAAAAACTAAGTAGCGATGAGAGGCTGTACATTATGAATTTTCTCCTCCTTACTGAAGAATACATCAACCGAGCCAAAGTAAGACGTGCTTCTACAAAGAGCTGCTGTATTGACTCAACTGTGACTCGGTGGGTTTGTGCAGAATGTGGCCGTGTCTGATTATCAACAGATCGCCTGAAAAGTCACATTAGGCGCCATGTTCACAGCCATCAACTTTTAATATAAATGGACCGTTAACAGCAATGTAAGAACAAGACTACTCTCACGAGGCCTTGGAAAGGTGTATATGGTCAATCATGGAAACAAACAAATATCCCCAGTAAACGTGCCAGATTTAAAAAAAAAAAAAAACTTTTTTGTTTAAAGAGTCATTACAGAACCCATGAGCGGGCATCTGCAGGTGTGGGTATGCTCGTAAAGAGACAGTAGTCAGAAGAGCATTATTTGAAGGCTCCGATTAATCATATTATCGTGTCCTAAATCATTTTCTAAGCTTAGCTTATATGTGGCACAAGGTCGAAAGTGTGGAGCATCCAATAAGGATCAAACACACTACTCAGTCGTAATAGATTTAGCGAAAGAATTTTGATTAAACATTACACAACGTCGAAGTTCCCAAAATAATAAATTCTTTTCTTTTTGGTCGGTGGGGTCTAGCTCCTTATAACCGTTTTAGAATTGACGTCACATATGATCTGCGTATATATCTATGTCGCTGTTTCTCTCTTGCTCTATTTCTAACTATTTATCTATCTGAAGACATTTTTATGTTTATACATTCTTTTTATAGATACAAATATTTAAGTAAATGATCTGTTTATAATAAACAGTATAAAATAACATTTACCGGCCCGAAAATCCGAGAAATTTTCATAGAAAATATTCGTCCTCCTCCGACAGGATTCGAACCTGTATCCTATACAGAACCGTTATTTAGCTTGACGTGGCTTAACCGATTTGGCCACAGAGGAGCGTTCGATTAACAAGGTCGGATTTACTGCTTTTAAACTTCAATCTTCCGTGAAACTCTCCCGTACATTCATATCTGCTCATGGCGTATGAAATGTAAACAAATGACGTCACACACTATCTGTCTATCACAATCTCTTCATATTTGATTTCATTGCGTAAATAGCGTAAAGACGCACCCTCAGATACAGGGCTCGGCTTAGATTCTCCTGAAATAGACCATTATAACGGCGATTTGCCACTGCTGCGTCTGCGTTTTGCCAGGGTATACTATTGGGATTTTCCCAATTATATTTGGTAACAAAAATATTGTGACGCCGGCAAGAAGAAAGGAACACAAACACAGTTGAAAATGTTTGAAAAAAACTTGTATTTGTAGGAAAAGAGAAGTAAAGTTTCAATTGCAAACAGTCGGGTTTGTGGAACTTATCTGAAATTTGCGTCCTTTTAACAGTTTTATATTTCCTGTGTCGTCTTGACTGGGTTGAAGAAAGTAGAGTCTTGACTTCTGTGCTTCAGTTTCTGTCTAAATCCACACACGTGACCTGGTGTTTAGATGACGGAGAGAGCAGACGGGGAACGTGTTGTCTCTGAGGTTCCCAACAAGTAAAAGAGGAAGAGAGTTTGTAAAAACCGCTCACATGTGGGTTTGGTGAAAGTCCAAAAAGGTAGCCTGTGATTGGTTGTTTTTCATCCAATCACAGAGCACCCAGTTAACGACTCCGTAATAATTTCAATATTCTCCCCAAAATAAACGTTGGTCTTATCTATCTTTATTCAGTAATTTCATCCTGCGATGATAGTTTTTTTTTTTTTTTTTTTTTAATCACTTGAATTCTTTCATTTCATTCCGCAGATGGAATTAATGTTAGGGCGTGAGGAGGCGTGAGGGTTTTGGCGAAGGCCATCCTTCTTTGAATCTTGTGGAATGGCACTACAAAATCACAAACAAAGAAATGTACCAAATAAGAGAAGCCATATCACTTGTGGACTATCAAGAGCGGTAATAATTAAAATGGATAGCGTAGCCGTCACACAATTTTTGAAACATGGTAAGAATTGTGTAGCGGAAAAAAACATATTTTAAATCAATTAATTTATAATATTAATGCTCTGTAAATTTACATTGAGCACTATTTTGTAAAAATAAAAATATCTATAAGAACACCGGATTATATATCTTACTGTTCTTTCTTTTTATTTATATACATACATACACACACACACACACACACACACACACACACACACATATATATATATATATATATATATATATATATTACTCTGAATGTTATTCTTATTTTCTTCACTAAGATCACACTGTTTAATAAATAAAGACAGGGTATCGATGTCAAATAAGAAATTCAATTAGATTTTTTTATATATTATATAATTAAATTCAAAGCCCTAGTTCTGTTTCATTTTCTAGCGAATTTTGGAATAACTTATTTTGAAATTTACTGAATTTTATAAGCACAGAGATTCATAATATTTATTTCCAAGGATACAGTGGCGGTAGCGTGTTCATTTTTACTGACGACTATTGTATCAAATATGAGTCACTTTCGAAAAGAGGTTAAGTCTAGACAGGGTAGGGATGCCTTTCTTAACGAAACATATAAAATACAATATATATATGTATATATATATATAAAGAAATATAGTCTTAAGGTGTGCTATATTTATGGGATAAAGTGCTCAATATCAGAGATAGAGCGTGTGTAAATATAAAAGTGAACATAGAAGTCAACACTTAGAGGCGACAGTCTGTTTCATGCTATATGCAATCGTCAGGCCACGTGTGCTGTTATTTTTCTCGGCTATTTATATATATTGGTGTTAGTGTTGAATTGTGGGTATTCTATATATATATATATATATATATATATATATATATATATATATATATTTAAAGATATTTTTGTAGGTACAAAATTTAATGATCGAAATAAAAGTATAAAATTTAATATTACAAGACATATTAAAACAATATTAAATAATAAAAAAAAAAACAAAAAAAACTCAACAACAAGGGCGGGGAAGCAACCGGTTTCGCTCCCGCTCCTCAGGCTTCCACGGGAGATTCAATATTAAATATGAATAAACCTAAGTTAACGAATCCGTTGATATATAATCCAAGTAGATGCAAGTAATATAAAATACGTGGTAGGCGATCCGAGCCAACTCAGTGTCCAGTGCGGAAACGTTGGCCAAAAATCCCCAAGAGAAAACGTTTGCCTATCGAAGCGAAGCGTTTCGCTGTCACTGTTAGCGCCTGCCGAATCCGGTGCGACCTTCGACAGGTGACGGGAATTTGGGGATGGACCATGGTAGATTTTCCTCAAGGTCACGTGGGCTAATGAATAAAAGGCTGGGTCCAATGACTTCCCCCAAATAGTTGTGAGAGTCCGTACCTGCTTCCGGCAGTGGTGAACAAAAACTTCCAAAGTTGAGTTAAAGGGAGATAACTGCGACACCCAGAAGAAGGATGGCATGTGAAGCTTGAACAGTCAGTCCGGCTGAACGAATTAAAGGGTTTCGTTCGAAATTCCAATCATCTGAAGAAGACCGGAGCGTACAACAGCCGAAACGTCGTGAACATAACAATAACGTCTGAACAATATATATATATATATATATATATATATATATATATATATATATATATGTATATATATATATGATAAAAGAAAAGACAAATAGGAAACGGATATAGATCTAACGTATTTCACTTTTATTAAAGCTTCGTCAGAGATTGATAGAAAACAGATAAAAGCACAGAAACTGGTATTTTCACTTATGTTTGTGACAGTTCTCATTGGTCAGACATGCGTCAAGTGCATTAAAACTGTAGGTATTTTTGTATGTATGTAAATTTGGGAGGATTCTTATATATCTAAGCGGGCATCGGATGGGATGCAATGTCTTAGGCGTGTGTTTATAGTTGGTAATAATGATATTACCAATTATAAACACACACGTCTATAAATACACGTCTAAAGCTTTACACTACACAGCCATCTTTGAAGCCATTCTTTGGGAATTTAACTCTTATCTATGTGATACAAAAATGCATGCTTAAAGAGATCAGCCATAAATTAGAATATGACACCCCGCTGCATTGGCTGATCGAACAAAGGTGAAGACATTAGAACTACCACTAGACAGACACACATATACAATTACGAATGCATGTTACAATCTAATGCCCGCTTAGACATACAAGAATCTTCACAAACTTGCGTACATATATAATTATCTACGGTTTTAATGCGAGTATATATTGAGTTAAAGGTTGTGTATATATTCCATGTTTGTTTATCAAATTTATTCTTCACAAAAAATAATGTATAATGACATTTTATTCAGTTCTATATTCGCCATTTCTTGCCAAGATTTTTTGCCATTTACTCAAGAGAGCTTTTCTAAAATAAAAGCTTTTTTAGCGATCGTAAAACCTAGTAGTTGGTTGGTGCAAAATTTAATTTCCTTTATTTTTTATAGCTTATCAACCTTTTGCACATTATTTAAAGCCACAAGATATTTCTACATTTTAAGAATATTTTTTTTTGGTGGTGGGGATATAAATAATTTACTGATACAAGTCCTACTAATTAATCCACAGCTCGCGGGAGAAGAGGTGTACTTATGCCTATCCCAAGAGTATTTGCGCATGTTAATATAATGAACCCGATTGGAATTGGAGCTCGACTCCTGATTTCCAATTCCGAGGCGTTCTCAAGCGGTCACCCATTTAAGTACTGACCAGGATCGGCGTTGCTTAATTTCGATGATCGGTAGAGAACCGGTGTTTAAACTTGATATGCCTGTAAGACTATATGTATACTAGTGTAAGTTTTTATTAAGGCGCGATAAAATTTCTTGGCCCAGAATTTTTTTCGTCTTTATTCTTTTTCTCTTTTCTGCATTGTTTAATGTCAGAGCGTTCTTAGGTTTAAATCTCGGGGTATTTCTTTTTTAATAAAACAGATTTAATCTCTCTTTGACAAAGCCGAAAGCGCTTACAGTATGTACAACATGTATGTCGCCTCAAATGCCATATCAAACGACAAGTCGGAAAGGAAATTAATAAAAATTCCTTAACAAAGAACATTCGTTCGTCTTTCACAAAGCTTTTATTAATACTGCCTAAACATATTATATATATATATATATATATATATATATATATATATATATATATATATATATATTTGTGTGTGTGTATGTGTGTGTGTGTGTGTGTATGTTTGTCTCTGTGTGTATGTGTGAAAGTTCTCAGAATACAGGGTGTCCCCCAAAAAAATGACATCGTTTTAAAAGCAATTATGTTGAAAACTAGTAAGTCTGGCTCAATGAAACTGGACAGTTTACGTGTTGAACATCATAAGTTTATGTGATGGTTCGGTTCCTTGTACCACGGTAATAGTCCAAGGTAGAACCAATAAAGAAGAACTCGAACACATATATGGAATAACAGAGATATATTACAAACAGGAATATATACAGAGTGGTAGTGTTAGTAAGAACAATCAGGTTTAGTAGTAAGTGTCTGAACGCAACTCTGTTTCGGACTGCCTCTGACTCGACTGACTGACTCCCTCTGACTGACTGACAGACTCCTGACGGACTTCACTCCAGATTTCAGACTGAACAGTATTTACTCACCCCCTCCCTCACAAGGCCGGTTTAATGTGGGATCTCCGTATAAACGGGGTCAAGGTCGGTTTACCTCCCCGAAAGAGACTCCGCCCTTCAGCGTAGCCTCGTTCGGGTTCATCCCGCCCTAACGCAGAGAGTTCAACCGATCAGCCGGTCGTCCGACTTCAGACTGAACTCGCTGCTTCCTCTTGAGGCGCAGCATTTATTACGTATGGAATAGTCTATTAAGTTATTATGGGTAAGGTCCCATAACAGTTTATTATGGGACCGATTTCATAAGTGTTCAATATGGGCACCGCCTGTGACACGGCACACGTCAAGTCGGTAGTTAAGCTCTTGCCAAACACGTTGTAGCATGTCTGCGGTAACATTATCCAGTGCGGATGTGATTCTCTACAAGGAAGAGAACATAGATCAGTCCCTTCACATAAAAAGAAATCACACGGGGACAGGTCCGGTGACCGCGGCGGCCATTTCATCAGAAAACGGTCTTCATCTCTCTGTCAGATTTTCATTTTGATAAGCACATACTGTCCTCTTCCATTAAATATAAAATCTTGATCTGTTTCTATACATTCTCTGAAAGTTTGAGGTTATTTCAACAAGAATTGCCCAAATTATTGGCCTGCGAAATGATGTCAAATTTTGGGGGAGACCCCGTATATCTGTAGCGGAGACAAATTGAATAGATTTCCTATATATGTGCGTGAGTGTATGCGTCTATTTGTGTGTGCGTGTACATGATGGCCTTTCGCCATATGAGTTTCAACAGCATATTTGGCACTTGATGATTTACCGTAACCATGTATAATACGCCTTCATCCATAATAGGCGCACATAAAATTGTGCTGAAAAAGGTGGGAAAATGCTTCTACTTACGCACAATATGCATCCCTTTTTTGGCAATCAAACGCTATAAATTGTACCTCTCCAATTTCATTACGGCCAGCGTTTCCGACTCTTATTCAAACTGTAATTGAAGATATTTATCAAAATTTCCGATCATCACGATCCTAAAAGGAAACGGAAATATCTATATTGTGCCTACTGCGCAGACTCATTGACTTGTTTTTTGTTCGATAAAATGTGCAATCTACCGGATCTGTAGGCATTTTTTTTCCCTCAAAATTGGTTTTGAACATAGAATAATATTATTCAAATTTAGTTTTATGATAATTCTTACTTTATTTTACAACTGTAAATATTGTTAGGTATATATGATTGTATTTGACATCCTTATGGGGTCACAATCGCCGAATGTTAGTGTCAAATTGTCGTATGTTTGTGGTGAGTAATCATTTCGCAACTGAAATCGATCTATGAAACGGCAATTTTTTTGAAAATTCTTTTGTAGCTGTGTATAATACGCACCCCTAATTTTGTTTATTATTTTTTAGAAAACTAATGTGCATTATGCATGGGGAATTACACGTAATTTTTTGTTTGTGTGTGCCTTCCATGATTTTAAGAGCAGTTAGAGACCGACGCAACATTCTATTTATAAGTTTACTACTATATTGGCAGTTAGGTCTCACCGTTTTACTGCTGAGATGCAAACGTAAGTTCTATTTTAATAATTGGTTTTCTCGCTCACTTGCCGCTTGTGAAACTCTCTTCCTATTCCTTGATTTCTTGTCACCATCGAACTTCAAAAATTTACAGGCATCATCAATCACCATAGTCTGTCATTAAAGGAAACTTGTTCGTTTATTGTCCTTTCTCCTCACTTAAGTTTTCTCTTTTCAGTCACAGTAACACCTGGCGTCTTAGTGGAATTATCGCCTTACTTGCGTTGAAATGATTACAGAAATAGAAAGCATGAGATGGCTTCAGGAATGTTAAAGCGGTTTTCAGTGTTCTACTTTGCCACATGCTGATGTTCAACACACACACACATATATATATATAATATATATATATATTAAAGACATTTTTATGTTTAACGTTCTTTTTATAGATACAAGTATTTAAGTAAATGCTCTGTTTATAATAAACAGTATTAAATAACATTTACCGGCCTGAATGTCCGAGAAATTTTCATAGAAAATATTCGTTTTTTGACAGGATTCGAACCTGCATCCTATACGGAACCGTCATTTACGCTGACGTGCCTTACCGATCGGCCACAAATAAATACTTGTATCTATAAAAACATAAAAAAAAACATAAAAAATGTCTTTTAATTAAATAAATTATCGGATATTTTATATCCATTTTTATATATATATATATATATATATATATATATATATATATATATATATGGTATTATGCGAAGGATAAATTGTCGTCTAAATTACGCAAAAATGAAAATAACACTGACATCGCATTTTAACAGATATATTTATCAAAATTGCACAAAAGTATCTTGAAATAATTAAGAGTAAAATTATTCAATAAAATTACCATTGGCTTCAACCACAACCTCCAGATGACTTCGGAATCTTCTGCAACTCCTCTGGGTGGTTTCAGTGTATTTTGTTGAATTCTACCATAACCCTTGCCTTCAGTTCATCTTTGGTGTTACAAGAAGTTTTGTTGGTCTCTCGTTCAGCTGAGCCCCACACATGATAATCAAGGGGGTTGCAGTCTGGTGAGTTTGGTGGCCAGATGTTATGAGTAATGTGGCCGCAGAAATTGTCTGACAATCATGACTGTGTTCTCCTCCTTGTGTGGCGTGAAGCAGAGTCTATTTGCCAGACATAGAGTCTTCCAGCAGTACAGCACTACCATCTCAAGTCATTTGATGTAGGCCTCCGTGTTGACTCTGAAGCCCTCACCAACAATTTCACGAGTCCTTTTCTTATCAGAATGATCAGAGTGAGTTTTCCGAGCAGCCGTACCTTCGTAATCACTATCAGACTCATCCAACTCTTTTTGAATCCTCTGCGCTGTCTCTGTTTTATAGTTCCTAGCGCTTTCGGCTATACCTTCAGCCATTATCAAGGATGATTCAGATAGGTGTAACGTAAGGCGTCTGGACGTTACACCTATCTGATCACAGCTCCATTAGAACCCATTTAAACACACACACAAACTTACCAGACTCCATTAGAAACAGTTGAAAACACAAATGTAATAACTTCATCCACTTGTCAAAAAAGATTAAATTAATGGAAGCTTTAACAATAAAAAAGAAAAAGCCACCTCTTAACAATATTAAGTACGAAAAGGCCGCACTAAAACATATACACAATCTACACATTGAATTAAGCTGAAAAATCAAATCACCCTTGATAATGGCGAAAGCGATCAGAACTATAAAAACATTTGGACAGTTTTTACACACTCGTTGTCCAGAAAAGAAAGCTCTTGTTCGAACACAAAAAAAAAAAAAAAAAAAATAAAAAGCTTAACAGTAGTACCTTGTCTGTCGTTTTTAATGAAACATACATAAACGAAGGATTGCTGCCTAAATATACATCTATATATATATATATATATATATATATATATATATATATATATATATATATAGGTAACTATACTCGTCTCGAAAAAACTTCGAATTTTTGATTTGCCAATAATCAATCTCGAGGGAAAAAAATTTTAAAAAAAGAAGAGCTATGAACATGAAAGTCTGTCGAAAAAAATTGCAAAAAAGCCCAAAAAAAAAAAACCGACACGAGTAAATAACTAACTAAAAAAGAGCTCAATACAACCGGAGAGCAGACCTAGATAAACCTAGTGAGCCAGACAAACCTACCCAGGTTTCACCTAAGCGGATCGTCAGGGAAAGCTGGAGCCAGCTTTCCTGACGATCCGCTTAGGTGAAACCTGGGTAGGTTTGTCTGGCTCACTAGGTTTATCTATCTATCTATCTATCTATCTATCTATCTATCTATATATATATATGTCTGTGTTCATATATATGTCTGTGTACTATATATATATATACAGTGTAACCCGGATATAAGAGACCCAAATATAAGAGAAACCCGGATATAAGAGAGATTTTCTCTGGTTCCAAATTAGAGCCTGTGTTAATGTATATAAAATAGACCAAAACCGGATATAAGAGAAACCCCGATATAAAAAACTTCTTCTCCGGTCCCGACAACTCTCTTATATCCGGTTACACTATATATATATATATATATATATATATATATATATATATATATATATATATATATGTGTGTGTGTGTGAATCTAATATATTGTAT